CGTTTCGATCCTGCAAACTATCGCCCAGTCACTCTCCCCCCTGTGCTCGTGAAGGTGATGGAAGCGGGCATCGCTGAGGCTCTAATGGACTACCTGGAAAAATTCGACATCTTGGCATCGGAACAGCATGGCTTCCGTCAAAACTGGTCTTGCACCACCAACCTACTGATTGCACAATGTAGTTGGACAGAAGTGGCTGATGATGGGGTTGGAGTTGACGTCATCTATCTGGACTTCTCCAAAGCTTTCGATCGGCTGGATCACCGCATCCTACTTCACCGGTTACAGAGCTACGGGATCGGAGATCCTGTACTCGGTTGGATTGGCAACTTTCTTCACCAAGGGAAGCTTCAAGTACGGGTTTGGGGGTCACTCACTAACCAGATTGAGGTAGAATGTCGTGTTCCGCAAGGCTCAGTGCTGGGGCCGCGCTTATTCCTGGTGTTTATCAACGACTTGCCAAGAGTTATCTCCTCAAATTTTCTGCTTTTCGCTGATGACGTCAAGATATGGCGGGCGATTAGTAACCGTGAAGATCACGATATACTCCAACATGACCTAGATTGCATTTGTGAATGGTCAAAGAGGAACCTGATTCGGTTGAACATAGCTAAGTGCAAGGTGATCCATCTGCGTTACCAGCCAGTGAGCGCTTACAAGCTTGGGCCTCTCAGGAGCGTGACTTGGGTGTATTGGTACAGGAATACCTCGGGTATTCAAAACAAGCAACGAAGGCGACGAGAATCGGCAATCGAGACTTCAGCCTGCTTCGCAGACGCTTCGGTCGGTTTGAACCCTCAATCGTTCCCTAAATGCTTGACGCCTACATGCGACCGCACGCGGAATATGCTATTCAGGCGTGGTAGCCGTGGCAGATACAGGATCTCCATGCTTTCGAGACTCCTCAACGAAGCGCAACCAAGGAACATCAGGGGCCTCTTTCATCTGCCCTATCACCTTAGACTGAAATCTCTAAGAATGTACAGAAGTCGATTTCGGCTTTTGCGGGGGATCTCATAATGGTTTACCAGATTCTAAAAAACCCAAACCACATTTGCCGTCTGCTGCTGGAATTGAACCACAACGCTAACCTAAGAGGTCATCCTCTGAAACTGCAAATACAGTATAGCCGGCTTGAATGCCGTAGAAATTTCGTTTACCTCTGCGTGTGCCAGCCTTGGAACGCCCTCCCAAATTATGTCGTCTCTGCTCCCAATCTTGCGATATTTAAGAAACGAGTTGACGATGCGTTGTCTCATTTGCATCTCATTTTATGAATGGTTAGCCAGGGGCAACAAAACGCAGTCAAACGGTGTCTTGCCAAACTCCCAAGCAATGGATTTATGGATTTATACTTTTAATACGCGAACATCCCCGCTATTCTGCATAAGTCTATGGTGAGTCCACCAAAACGCTTTTCACTTTATCATGCACTTTACTTTTCGCAATAATTTCCATCCCACTGGACTCGTTAAGCATTGTTTTTTACCCGTAATACACCATGGTTCCATTGTTCGCTGCCGCGCATCAACCATATATGATTTCCAGTTGAATGCCCCAGGGTACCATTTGTTTCAGAAGGATCGTCTGCGCAAACACGTTGGTGGTTGTGTCACCTACATACGCCATGACTTTACATCAATCTCAGCTGACCATTCTATATTCACCGATTTGGAAGACTCGCTATAGTCAACAATTCCGGCTTATGCTCTTCTACATGGCTACTACCCCCGTAAATCTCAACAGTTAGTCTGAAATTACTGTCGCTTCTATTACACAAGTGCAAATTCCTATGTGAGGGTTTCAATCTGCTACATATAGAATGGATGTCACATATGCCTGAAACAATTGTTTGGCTTGCAGAAGTAACCCAACATGTACGTATTATTGATTGGAGTCATCACGTTAGGTTACCAACTTAGGCATCTTAAGTTTGTTTTCACTTTGGGAATTCCATCTATTTAGGTATCAATTGATGACTAATTAACATGTTTGATCACAATACGCTATTCTGTAATATGATTACTAGGCTACCTGGAAGGTCCATAGCTATAAGGAAACCAATTCCCTGAATGCATTTGGTAACTTGCTTAGGACCATGTGTCGGATCTGATCCTTTTTCACACCCGATTCATCCTTAACCGCAAGCGATTTTGTGAAGAAAGACCACGTGTACTTACATCCTGGCGCCCATAACGAAGGTAGACACAAATCCCACCAAACACCGACACAAATTCGCTTCCAAACTAAGAACAGTGAGATCACTGCACTTCAAACGTGACGCCATAAAAATGGCCCTGGCAAAAGGTTACCAGTTACCGACCTGTTCGTCATATTACTACAATCACCATTCTGTTTGAATAATTAATAAAGAAAACCATGATAGAATTCCTTAATTACAAAATTGTAGTAGGGGAGTTGAATAGTATAGGTGGATATTCATCACATCTATACTCAGTCAAACAGTCATAACGCGCCCGGCAAGGCACTGCACGGCTGTTTCCTCCCTTCGGGAATCATCAGCAGTGCACATTCCATCCGATCCTCATACGGCCTGAATCGTACAAGCATAAGATGGAATGCGCACTGCTGACGATTCTCGAAAGGATGCAACGGCCGTACAGGGCTTTTCTGGCGTGTGTTAGCTGTCTGTCTGAGTTTACATTGGATGACTTTCCACTTATACAATTCCTTTCCACTGGACTTATTTAACACATCTCAACATGTTTTCCTCGGTACTTGTTGCTTCATTACCTGCCAGCTGCACCACCTTTACTACACTTCAGAATCAATGGATTCCGGTTTTGTGATCATAATTTTATTTCACTATTAAAAAACATTTGACGATTGTTGAAAGATATAGAATCCCCTGGAGTCCTGAACCCGCTTTTAAACTGGCTCTCCTCCTACATTAGCAGTCGATTTCAACTAATCACTTCGAGTGATCACGGATCCTCCACGCCCAATCAGCGGTATCAACCAGGGAAGTATACGTGGCCCTTTGTTATTTTTCCCTTATACCAACGATATTGGTATATCCAGGGACGGTACTTGAACCTCTACAGCTTTGTCCCTAAGCGGCAAAGCCTCGGTTCAACTGGGCTAGATTAGTATGCACTGCCGATACACTAGGACAAGAGTTGTACTTGCTAGCTCACACTCTCTTAGATAATGATTACCCCCGTCCTTCATCGCTCAGTTTAATGCTGTGAAAGCAAAAGAAACTGTGCCCATGGTACTGAAGCTTAAAGTAACCCTACACCTACCATTCAAGGGATACGTCTTATGCCAAGTATTTCAGCAACGATTGCAATCCGCAGCGGCGCGCATATACCCTGCAGCGGGACCAGTATTAATCTACACAACGAATCTTATCCTTACTCCATCGGTTAAACCCCCACTGTCGCTGTCCATCTTTTCACGCATTCTAGACCAATTCACATGTATTTACAATGCCGAATATGTGGCCATGACAGAACGACAATTGAGGCTGAAGTTCGCGGAGCACATACCGGCGTGGGTTAGTAAACACGTTTCGCAGATGACTGCGTCTGCCACCCCGAATGCGCAGCCAATGAAGCGAAATGACGTTCCATACAAACAGCCGGCGTCATCAATCGCCCGCCACCTACTGGCTGACAACCATTGTGTAGACCCTGCACGAGCCTTCCGTGTTATCTATGCCTCAAGGAACCCCCTAACTTTACGCTATGCTGAGGCCATGGCCATCAAACAACTTGGCGCAACTCTGTGTGTGTTAAAAGACGCATTTGTGACCTTTGCTCTGCCGTGGTAGCGGGCCAGGAATAGATGATAAAGTGACTGTATGTGCGTATGTGTTCAGTTTGGTCGGTTTGTAATTTCAACCACCTCATTTCATGATGCTACAAATCCACACGTCTGTAGTACGCACTTGTAAATACTCAGAAAATTTTCCGGAATTAAATCGAGCGGCACTATAGTTAGCTTTTCTACTAAACATTTCCTCGGGAACTAATTGTTTCAATTGGTATATCCATCAAAAATTGCCACCTTTTTTGCTGATGATATCAAGGCTGTCTATGAACTTTAAGAAAATATTTACTCCCTTGAGGAATGGTCTGACACGCAGCTAATGACATTCTCGTCTGATTAATCTAGGATTATGTCCTGTAGTTTCTTCATCCCCGAAGAGTCAGTCAGACCCAACTATAAGAGTATCTCCATACGACAGTTTATTCGTGATCCTGTAATCCTGTATTCTTCCAACTTCCACTTTTCTGAAGAATCCCAATACCAAATAACCCGAGATAGCTCGTGTCTAATACATGCCACAAAATCCATACGGTCCCTGCTAAACTACAGTTACTTAGAACCCTCACTCGTCTTATACTTGAATATTGCAACATGCAGCATGCGGGAGATGGACAGGAAAGCTATGGAAAATTTACACATGTCATTCACCAAACGTTTATTCAGTAGCACATCTACTTTTAACTATCGTGCATATTGCAGGCAGCTTTGCATTGACCCCCTCTGTATGCGACGTCTAAAACAAAATTTGATGCTTCACAATTTGTCACCTCATAAAACACTACAGACCTATATTTCAAAATACCGTATCTAGGAGGATGTGGAAAACTTAGTCTTCATCCACATACAGTGTGTGGCACATTGCTCTTAACCAAACGTGTCCACTTCAAATTTTGCAAAATTCCGCCTCCAATTCTTTGGACTACAAATCATGCTCTTCTGTCTCTAAATTCATCGTTTTTTCATCACAATATCCTTTCTAACCCAGTGCCCGGTTGGAACTACTCCGTACTTCAAAATCAAGCCACATGAGTCGTAACATGAGGACCGCATTCTTAATCCGCCTTTCTTTTTTACGGGAACACGACGAGCTCCCATGTTGTCTGCTGTCACATCTGTTACTGATGGTATCAAATGCTTTTTCCTGATTCCTCTGCTGCTCCACTTCATAGTGGTAGAAACCAACTAACAATTTCCTTTGCTTTCAGGAGTTCATACCGCCTCGCGGCCGGTACGATCTTATTTGGATCCAGTGGGTTATCGGACACCTTACCGATTTAACTCTGGTCGAGTTTCTCAAACGGTGCATAAATGCTCTCTCTGCCAATGGAATTATTGTTGTGAAGGAAAATGTTATTGCCAAGTCTCCAATTTCTCCCGATACTGAATCTGCTATATTTGACGAAGTGGACAGCAGCTTTACTCGATCCCGCGAAGCTTTACTGTCTCTGTTCGCCGACGCTGGTTTGAAAGTGTTCGGCGAAAAAGCGCAGAGTAATTTTCCTGAAACCATGTTTCCAGTTTTAATGTTTGCCATGCGACCCCAGCTGATTCCTGACTTTGAACCCCGGTCTTCTCCGTAGTACACAATCCCAGTACCCCGAGGCTTCATTATTCCTCCTTTTTTGCCAGTTCGCATTGCCGCTGTCGCTGTTTTTCTTCTGATACTATTGTTCATTTATGCCATTCTCACTTGTCTACTTTTATCGCCGTTCCGTTTGACATTCATCTGCCAGATGTTATTTTGTTAACCCTTTTTGACTTCTGCATAGACTGCGGTTGTTTAATTTTTAAGGTTGGAGACAGTGCAAGCTTCCTCTTCCAATAGGCCTCGAAATCTCAGCTGCTGGGCTATTGGGTCTATACTATTTTTGATGTTAACGCACATTTTCAGCCTGCTGATTTTAGTATCTTGAGACGTTGCGGACTATTTTCCAGCTTTCCCACTAATGACGCTGACGGATCAGCTTCACCTACAAGCGCAGAGTTTTCCGCACTCTCCGGTTCCCACTTTCTCGATCACCTATTGTTTGAGGCCGATCCGTCAGATTCTGGGTGGATGTTATTTCATATGATACTTTAGTCGGGAATATTTTGATTGGTAAATCAAGTATGTAAATCGGATGATTTAGCTTATACTAGTCGCGTTCACAGTCGTAACACTTTGCTGTTGGATGTCATTTCTTGGTTGGCCTTATTGCCACGGGGATTCCGGTCACCACTGCTCGGTTGCCTTGCTATTTACTGTGTGTTCATCGCTAAGGCTCAAGTTCTCGTCATTACTGATGTGTTATACGTGCTGAAAAAGCAACCAATGTGAAGGGTGAATTTCAAATAGTGAACCGGGACGTTGAATTTACTATCCGTTAAATTTGTTGGTGGAAAGCGCTATTGATTGAGATGCCGGTTGTTGCTCATGCTGCAGCCTTTTCTAACCTTTGACATGGAAGCGACTGTTTACGCGATATCTGCTTACAGTGCGTGTGACACGGGTTTGTATCCTACGATTTCTCCACCTTTTTAGATGCCTGGAAGCTTATGCGAATAATCTCATGAGTGGCGTTTGTTAGTCTACTACAACTTTATGAGTAAAAGACTCACAAATGCATACCATGCTGGCTTTGTCCGAAGTGCGGACTATACCCTCTCCTTACTTTGTTTCAGCCCCGTGGAAGCGCTGGACTCCATTCGCACTTTAGAGACCCAAACTACCTTAAGTGGCATGGCCTATGCCTTCACATTTTCTGAGTGGTTACTCGAGGTGGTACATCCACCGGGTTATCTGGTAGCTGCATCACCTGTTGAGATTAATTTACAAAGCTTACTACGCGCACTGATGTGCCCATGTCGGTTTACACAGAAAGAATTTTCTGTGGAGAAACATGCTACACAGGTGCGTGCACAACGCGATGTGCACATAGATAAATAAACAATTTATTTCTCAACTTTCCAATTTACTTTTCAGGTTTTTGGTCCGATCAAATCGTACAAAATGACCGTAAACTAGTTAATTTTCAGGTAAATAGACAAATTACGTGGGATTTCAATTTGGCAGGGAACACGTCATTCAACAAGGCCAGTCAGTCCCACGAAAACCACTGTATCAATCGCATGTTGGTAGGTCGTTTGCATATATTGCAAAGTAGCGGTTTGGTATGTCGGTGACATGTTGACATATACTTCGCTGTAGTCTGTCATTGCAGCGGTGTGAGGTAGCTAAGTGTAGAGCGAAACGCTGCATGCGGATACGGCCTGAGTTAGAAAGATTGTTTTTTTCCATGCAGCAGGATCAGTGCGCCAGCGTTATTTGTATGGAAGTAAGCCGGCAGTCAGGTGCATTCATATACTTTTCCGCAGTAGTTGCACGTGTCTTAGGGGAAGGGACAGGTTGAAAAAATAGAACAGTGAACAGGTCGACCGATTTACAAATGGAAAAAATTGCTGTAGGGGAAATATGATGCAATTCTATAATGATGTGTTCAGCAGCGTACAATGAGTAAAAGTAGGAACAGAAAACATGCATGTGAAGTGATTCACGGCATTGTCAATATGGTAATTGATTAGAGTCTGTTAGGCGCTTACTAATCTTCGAAAAACTGGCATAAGGAGACATGAAACTAGTTTCCTAATAGGTTACTCTTTATTAGTTTTGTGTTTCACGCATGACAAGTAGCAATGGCAAACCATCGGAACGGGTGCTTTGTATAATAATTGAACAAGAACAACGTAACAGTTCTCAGGTCAACAGGGATGAACACCCAGTTGGCCTTTCCTCATAGGCTTCTAGGTGGGCGTGAAAGCCTTAAGTTATGACCGGTTAACAAGAGAGTTAAAACGAGCACTCGGTTTGTCTTCAGTCGTTGATCTCCATGTAGACATAAAACGTCGAGATCTATGTTGTCTAGTAAGGAAGGAATCTAACCTTAGTCGGATGAATGATGATATGAACTTAGGATACCATCTCTTCAGCCGTTCTATTGATATGGGGGCTTTGAGGTTGATATGGCCGGTTAAGGGAAGAATCTGATAAGGGTTGAAAGTTCCGTCCCTATTCTTTATTTGGCTTATGTGATATCAACAAGCATTTTAATGTACAGCCAAGGTACAACGGACATAGCATTATATACTGCTTGGTCCATTCGGTCAGACCTCTGTCTCTGCAACACTGAGCTTAAAGAGTTACACAGCTTTTGAAACAGAAATTTATCTATCTGTACAGGGACCAAATCTGCACGGACTAATGGACAATGGGGAACAATTCCAAATCGATGCATATTTATTTGGGGGGAAGTGTGCACGACTTTAAAGCTGGCAGTGTGCATCTTTATTGCGGGTAGAGTAGCGCTCACTGTGTTTTAGTGGGGGTAATCTCTAGGTGTGTGTGTGTATGCGTACATAACTTGTAGCGCCCTAAAAGATAACTGCTATCTTTCATGTACAGTTTAATTGTTGACCGATTGTACATTACTCCTTCTTGTTTTAATCTTACAACCGGCTCGACACACAACTGCCTTGTAAGTTCCTGCGCTCACGTGTACGCTCTCGCCTCGCTTCATCCGTCCGCTTCTTATTGTAGCCCATCGAATACAATCCGCTGTGCCCGACTCCCATTGCCTTCTGATATCCGCGCTTACTTTCGCGCACCGTCTCGGACTAGTATTAACTAGTCCTACAAATTGGTAACCCCGATTCGCACGCGCGAATTCAACTTTTTTTTCTCGTTTGTACTTTTTGGTGAGTTCGTTCCTTTTTCTCGATTATATACCTGTATTCATTTGTTTCTTGCGTAATTTTAGTACTTTTATCATATTTCGTTCATTCTTTTTCTTTTGATTCACATTTCGAGAGTGGCATCTGAGTCGTTTCACAGCGTAACCATGCTTACTTTGGCTTTTCCAAGTTTCATGGAACACAGTCCAGAAGTTTGGTTTAAGATATTCGAGATCGAACTAGAAAATAAGGGTATTACGGCGGACCGTCCGAGGTACAATCAGCTCGTCCCACGCCTTCCTCCGTCGGTTGTGACCCTGATTGAGGACATTCTACTCTGCCCATCGAATGAGGCAAAGTATGAAGCGATGAAGCAAGCGATTTTAAAAGAGTTACGGCCCAGCGCACGAACTCGATTTGAGCAGCTCAATGGTCTCAAGCTTGGAGATCGCAAGCCGTCGGCGTTGCTCCGCGAACTTCAACGCATCGCTGGTCCCTTATTCTTGAGCGAAGAAGGGATAAAGGAGCTGTGGTTTGCACGTCTCCCAGAGCCGTTGCCGGTAATGCTGTCCATGTTTATAGATACACCCCTGAAAGAATTAGCTACTAAGGCAGACGCTGCGTTCGAACGTTTTCCGCAACAGACGACCAGTAGCTCCGTTGACGTATTCTCACCGATGAACACCGAATCTCATGTTTGCTCCCAGTCGTTAGTCCGACCTGACTCTAAAGATGAGGAAATTGCGCTACTTCGAAGCAAGATAGCAACAATGAAAGCTTCGAAGCAGCGGGTGCCACGGTCAATTGCTGACCACGTTTTGTCTACCTTTCATTGCCGCTCGTCTGTGCCTGCACCAAGTACGTCACGTTCGGCACGAAAGCGCAATATTTTCCCTACAAGTTCTCAGTAAGATAATGTCAAACACGTCGAAGAAGTATGTTGGTATCACCGCCAATACGGCGAAAGAGGTAGACGTTGTCGGTCTCCTTGCATCAGGCACGATCCAGCTGCTTCAGGGAAATCGAATAGCCCGCATACTAGCACGACCAACGTATCCATCAATAACCAACAAACCGCCTGTTTTACGTTAAGGATCGACGTTCTTCCATCACATTCCTCATCGATACTGGAGCGGAAGTCAGCGTCATCCCAGCGACCGCTAACGACAAGCACTCACAGGCTAAGTACAATTTACGTGCGGCCAACGATTCTCCGCTAGCTTCATTCGGTCAGCGCATGATGAACCTGGACCTCAATCTTCGCCGAGATTTTCAGTGGGTCTTCACGGTTGCGTCTGTACCCTTCGCAATTATCGGTCTCGACTTCCTCCGCCATTTTGGGTTGCTTGTTGATGCTGGTCGCCACAGACTTTTAGGCGATCGTACTAAACTAGGGGTTGAAGACGTTCTTATGGACGCCCCGATAATCAGCCCCGTTTTTCGAATCGCCGATGTACCATCAGGTTATGCGAACATACTGTCTGAATACCGGCGACTGGTACGACCAGCTGCAGAGCTTCCACCAGTTACGACAGAGATCGCTCATCACATAGTCACGCGTGGTCAGCCAGTTAACGCACGACCAAGACGGCTTGATCCTG